CCCTCAGTAGTTTCAGTGGCCTCTGCTAAGGAGTTAGCAATTAACTTTAATAAATATTGGGGACTGCTGGTGTAGGCCTGAGGACACAGTTCAGCGGTAGAGTGTTTGCTTAGCATGTGCAAGTCCCTGGGCCTGAGCCCCAGCACTACAAAAGTATCATCTAAAAAGTTCCATAGTTATTCTATAAAATTCTATGTTAGTTAAAAAGTATTGATGTTCTTGGCTAATCACTTTTTTAGTGTAACTACCTGAGCTAAATCTTCATGGGTCCTGTGGTCCTGGGGACTGCTGGTCTTTCAGACATTCGCAGGGCCCTTGGACAACACCCCCCAAGGTCACCCATCAATGTCATTCCCACAGTTGGTCATCCCCAAAGGTAGACTGCATAGGTTCTGTTTGTTTCTTTCCTATACAATAGGAGGCAAAAGCATCTTTGGGTGGCTCAGTAAAAAACAGTAATTCCAATTTTCTTTTTGTTACATGAATGAAGCCAGGGGCATTTGGGAATGAAGAACCCAGCAATATCTAGAAAAAAGCTATAAGTTCTGAAATAGGGAAAGGAGAGACACAGAAGTCAGGGATGATCCCTAGATTTGGTGCTGGTGACTAGATTGGTGGTGTCATTGACTAAGAAAAGGAAGAAGGACCTAGGGACTGGTTAGGACCAGCTACATGGTTTATATGGCCCAATTCAAAACAAATGTTCAAAGTCACTTAATCAAAATTCAGGAAAAGGCTGGGTGTTTGCACGCCTGTAATCCCAGCACTCGGGAGGCTGAGGCAGGAGGATCGCTGTGACTGTGAGTTTGAGACCAGCCTGAACTACATAGTGAGTTCCAGGTCAGTCTCACTACATAGTGAAACCCTGCCCCAAAAAACAAAAAACAAACAAATTCAGGAAAAAATTCTTTTTTCTCTTTTTCCAGTGATTCCCTTCTCCTTGATCCACCATGATGGTGTTTATTTCCTATTTGGTGTCCTGTGCCCTTGGGTATAGAAGGGTGAGTGAAACCCTCAAAGGGTGGAACCTGGGCCTCTGCTTGTGCCTGGGTACAGAGTTGCCAGGTTCCCAGCTTCTGCCCATGAGGGATGAACACCCCTGTAACTCAGGCATCTTCCCTTCCTAGGAGAAAGCACTCCCAGTCTATGGCAGCTGGTGACTCAAGAATATTACTACCCCTACACCACGACACACTAGAAACCTGCGTGGGGAAGGATAGGAGGCTTGCCCTGCCAGGATGCCCTGATCTGGGACTGCCATGGCTGTGCCCACCCTGAGACACAGTGGTGGGAATGTACCCAGCCCTGACCCTCCCTGTGCCTATGCCCAGGCATCACCACTGGGGACAGGGGGTGGGGAGGGCAGGTTTGTGGGCCAGGGGCAGGTGATAGCTGGTCCCATGGATGCAGGTAGACCATGGAGGTCAGGATAATACGTGAAATAGGGCTCCAAGCACCCAGCAATGCTCACTAGAACTTCGCCTACCAATGTAAATCCAAAGATAAAAGTATTTAGAATCTCAAAACAGCCTCAGAGAGCATTAAATTCCAAGCACGGCACCCTTCTGAGCACATGGCTTGTGCAATTACACTGGCTGCACACTGTGGTTGTGGACCGAACATTTTTGTCTATCAGAATTCTTAAGTCGAGGCCCTAACTCCAAATTTATAATTGGAAACAGGGCTTTGAGGAAGTAATTAATTGTAAATGAGATTGTAACAGTGAGGTCTTGTCTTAGTCACTCTTCCATTGCTGGACACAATATTGAACACCTACAACTCAAGGGACATAAGGTTTATTTAGCTCATAGTTACAGAAATTTCAGTCCATGGTCCATGAAGCAGGACAGTGGAGGGACCTGCCTTGGAGGAAATCTGTTCCAGTTACAGTGGCCGGGGATCAGAGAGAGACAGGGACAGAGCCAGGGAGAGAGACACATTCACCCAGGTCCCCCACAGGGACCACCTCCACCAACCAGGCCCCACCTACTAATAGCATATTAGGCTACCAATGTATCAGTGGCCTGATCCGCTGATGAGCATAGCTCCCCCGTGATGCAGTCACTTTCCAAAGACCCACCTCTGTACACGTGAGTCTTTGAGGGACATTCTAGATATAAACCGTAACAGGCTCTTAAACCAATAGTACTGGTGTCTTTATTAGAAGGAGAGGCAAGACAGACAGCATTCTCTTTCCTTTCTGGCTCTGTGAAATACACTCACAAAAAGCCACAGGAGCGTACAGTGAGAAAGCAGCTTTTAGTAAGCTAGGAGGTCTTCACCAGAGCCCAGCTATGCTGGTGCCCCGGACTTTTAGACTCTAGAACTATGAGAAATCAGTTTCTGATGTTTAAGCCCCTACTCTGTGGTATTCTGATACAGCAGCCAAGCTAACACATGAGTGAATCCAGCTTGGGGAATAGTTCAAAGAAGATCATGAATCTCATTGAGCGCCAATTGAGACAAAGGACTTGGGTGGTTCCTTAGACATGGACTTATATAGATCCAGTGGCCAAGAGTGAGTCTAGAAATACCAGCTTGGGAGTCACTAATAAATAAATGTAATAAGGTCCCTGGAAGTGGATAAGATCACAAGGCATAGTGTTTAGAGGAGAAGAGGGTAAAGCCAGAAACCAAGAGGTGGGGTGGCAACAGTTAGGAGGTGGAGAGAGCCCAAGGAAGACAGGAAGAAGGGAGGAATCAAACAGAAGGGAGGAAATCCAAGGGTAGGTACAGTACGGGTGTGACTGAAATACATAGTGAATGTTTAAATGTTTAAAAAGTGTATTACAGCAAGAGACACATTGCCATTAGTCCCCCTCAGAATATTCCCCCTTCCTTCAAACACACATATGCTGTTGTTCTTGCCGCTTTGTGAAGTAATTCTGGAAATCCTCTCTCATGAGTATCTTTAGTTGCACTGTGGTGGCTACTTTGACCTCCTGAAGTGATTTAAAACATGTACTTTTCATGGTCATTTTAACTTTGGGGAAGAGTCAGAAGTTGCAGAAGTTACATCTGGTGAATTAGGGCTGAGGACTCGGTGTAATGTTTTTAGAAGCCTGCTTTTCCATTGGGTGGCACCTGGCAGCAGCATTCACCATAGTTTTGATCACACCTCTTAAAGACGCTCAGGAAAGAGGACTAAGTGGCAAAAATGATGGGACTAGCTGTTCAAAGTGAAACGGAATGTCTGAGGTGGGTTGATGACAATGTGTCCTTTATTGTGATAACATAAAAAATTTAAACATTCACTGTATTTTTCAATTCTGCCTCATATTCTGGAAGTTAATGAAAGTTAGAAATTCTGAGATTGTCAGATTCTGTTAAGAAGCCAGGCAAGGTGAAGGTTGGAATTGTCTGGCAGATTTAGCCAAGAGGAACAATTTGGTTTGAGGAGTAAATCTTGATGCCTGCTGGGGTGCACTTTGGAGCCTGTGAGTGAGAAACAGCAAAGGAAGTCCTACCCCGACCCCAGCCAGAGGTGCCAGATTCACCCATGGAGCTTAAACAGGCAGATCCCAGGCTTCCTGTGGAGAGCTGGGATGGGACCTAAGAAACAGCATCTTTTTAAGGTCTCGGCTTGACTGTAGTGCTCTGGTAGGTTTGGGGACTACTAATTGGATACAGGTAACATGAATTGCATTCAGAGGGACTTGAGTTCCAATTCTCATTTTGTCATATTTTAGCTATTTAAACCAGAAAAAGATATTTAAATCTCTGTGAACCCCCCACCCCCCTTTTTGAGACAGGGTCTCACTATGTAGTTGAGACTGACAGGGAACTCACTATGTAGCCCAGGCTGGATTTGAACTTGCAGTGATCCTCCTGCCTCAGCCTCCGGAGTGCTGGGATTACAGGTGTGCGCCACCACACCCGGGTCCCCCCCCCCTTTTTGAGACAGGGTCTCACTATGTAGTTGAGACTGACAGGGAACTCACTATGTAGCCCAGGCTGGATTTGAACTTGCAGTGATCCTCCTGCCTCAGCCTCCGGAGTGCTGGGATTACAGGTGTGCGCCACCACACCCGGGTCCCCCCCCCCTTTTTTTTCTTTTACAAAAATGGTAACGGGAATCCCATTGGTGTTACTGAAGATTGAATGACAGACACAAATTCTCCAGGACAGAGTAGATGTCTACTAAATAGAAGCCAATGCTACTTACAGTGGACATAGTGTTGGACCCTGATGTTGGTTGTGAGAAGCAAAGGAAAAAAGGGTTAACAATCGAAGGATATTAAGGGTCACAGCGGGGTAGTGCTGGTGTTGTCCTGATTTTTGTGAGATGGCAGAGATGTGAGAGGCAGGAGAGGGAGGGCAGCATGGGGACCTGAACTCGTGAGTAACGGGAGCGATTGCTCCAAACCACAGATGGGAAATCTGCCCTGGCGTGGGGAGAAAATCCCTGGGAAGAAGTGAGTTGGTGTGGAGTGTGACATTCATTTCCTGGGAAGGAGGAGGCCGTCAGATGTGCTGAGAGGGACAGGGTTCTTGAGAAGAGGCACAGGCTTGGACAGGTGACCAAAAATATGCAGAAAGAGTAACAGGAAGTACTGAGGTCTTGGCAGAGTTTGGTGACCCATGCTGTTATCTTTCTCCTTCGCCCTCTTCTAAGTGGCTGACTTTTGCCATACAGTTGCCCTGTACCGGCGTCATACTGAGCTTGTTGCCATATTATCTCACTGAATCGCGACAACATCCCTGCACTAAGCTTATATTGTCTTGTTTAATCTTGCCCACCGCCCTGCCGTGTAGGTGCCATCTGTCATCCCCTATTTCACAGATGATGGGGCGCAGCTGAGGGGTTAACTGACTTGTCAAAGCTACACAGCTGATTTCCTACAGAGTAGGCTCTCAACTGCAGATTTATCTGAGCCAGAGCTTCTGTTCTGAACTGTGCCAGATGACATGTTAACTGGGATTAAATTTTGTCCCCAAACATATGAGTCAAACAAGATATATGTCGGGAGCTTGGAGGCAGGCAGCTCTACCACACTCACCCAGATTACTTCTGGTTACTTCTCTCGTTCCACTCTGCCGTCTTTGACGTGTGATTTCATCTGCAAGGGTACTGCGTGGTCCACTGCATGTGTGCATTCTAGGAAACGAGAAGGTCAAGGAGCAGGATCTGTCCTTCTGGAGTACAGCTTCTCTGCAAGCTCTGCCCACGAACTGCTACTTCCATCTCACTGATGATCTCTTTGAGTTCAAGAGAAATGACTGTATCATCTAAAGAGAAGGAAAAAAAGCAGATCTAGGGTATCAACCAGCAGTGTTTGCCATGTAATGATTGCCACATATTGAAAATTAGGGACAAATTGTTTATTCTCATTTCATTGCCATACAAGCCAGGCAGTTCTTGCTAAGCCTTTTTATTTATTTATTTATTTATTTTTTATACTGGGGATCAAACTCAGGTCTTTGCACTTTTGAGGCAGGCAGCAGGACCACTGTGCTTAGCCCTTGCTAAGCCTTTCAAACTCCAGAAGCAGGCACACCTCTGAGCAGGAGACTGGTAGGAGAATATTTCAATAATGTCTCAATGTGAGGCTTATGTAAGTTAAAGATCTTTGGCTCCTAGAAGTGGATAATGGGACTCAAGTGAGTTCACACACAAAACCCTTGGTAAGATGAACCTCAGTTCAGTCTAAGTGCCTAGAGGCACAGAGGCCAACTCTAGGCCTGGTGGTGTTTCAGGCTGAATGGCTCCCAGTGGCTCCTGATAACAGTCAAGGCTGACTGTTTCTTCATCACATCCACAGTGCTCTCCCTAAAGAACAAGGAAGATCTTTCCCAGAAACCTTCAGTCCAGCTTCTCTGTCTCACTAGCCAGAATGGGATAAGATACTCCTTTCCCAACAGAGAGTGAAAGAAGAGTAAGGCCATCTCAGGCTCATAAGCCACAGCCTTAAAGTAAGTTCGGTTCCCAGCCCCTTTCCTGCTGGAGGTGGAGTAGGTGAGCATCGATCATGGTGTTGTCTGTGGTGCCTCCCCTGGCCCCGTCAGAAGACATTTTTATATTCCAGTGTCGTCCTACAACACAACACACTACAATCTCCTTCACTAATGGTTGGAACATTATTCATTCTTTATGGATGGGGCTGTCTTGGAAACGGCAGAGAAAGGAGTTTAAGGACTTAGAACGAGGGGCTGGCTTGTGCACTCATTATGTGTGGAGCCCCGGGTTTAATCCCTAGCACTGTGCAGGAAGGAAGGAGGGAAGGAAGGGAAAGAAAGGGCAAAGCGAGGCAGGTAGGGAGGGGACAAAGAGGGGAGATGGGAGGGGACGGGGAAAGGAGAGGGCAGGAGGGAGGAAGGAGAGAAAGGAAGGAAAGGGAAGAGAGAAGAACGGAGGGAAGGGTGACAGGGAAGGAGGGAGGGATAAAGACAGACTTTAGACCAGAAAAGACAAGGAACCCGGGCGTGGTGTGCACACCTGTAATCCAGCACTCGGGAGGCTGAGGCAGGAGGATCGCTGTGAGTTTGAGACCAGCCTGGGCTACATAGTGAGTTCCAGGTCAGTCTCAACTACATAGTGAGACCCTGTCTCAAAAAAAAAAAAAAAAGTTTTTTTTTTTCCCGTATAGGAATATTGCTATTTAGGTTTTTTGGGTTTGGTTTTTTTGTTGTTGTTGCTGTTTTGAGACAGGGTCTCAATATGTAAGTCAGTCTGGCCTGGAACTCACAGTGATTATCCTGCCTCAGCCTCTCCAGTGCTGAGATCATAGGAGTATGCCACCACACCTGGCAAAATTTAAGACATTTTTGAATTCAGGTCTTACTGAATTTATGAAATAACTTAAAGATGGAAAGAACTATACCTAGACCCTAAGGATGGCAAAAACTGTTGGATCTCCACAGCTCCTGTTTGTTGCCATGAAGGACCTCCATGAGTAGGAACCCTTTTCTCCCCATCCTCTCTGCTGTTCCTGTGCCACCAAGCATGACTGGTCAGAATGGTGTGCTGGGGACCAGAAACTGGCTGAGAACTGCAGATACATCTAGGCTGAGAATCTACAATAGCCTATCGTATTTTTAGCCTGTTTACATAAATTATTACTGACATAACTGAATTTAAGCCTTTACCTGTAAAAAGAGATTACTTAAATTTTTTTTTTTTTTTTTTTTTTTGGCGCCAGGAATTGAACTCAGGGCCTTATGCTTGCCAGGCCAGTACTGTGCCACTGAGCTACATTCCTGGCCCTTATAGCTTAATTTTTTAAACAAAAGCTTATAATTTTTTGTCCTTTACTGGTTTTAAAGATAGGTGTGAAGACTTTTTCTTCTAGTAGATACCCTTGAAATTTTAACTACCTGCCTTCACAGAACCTAAAGGTAATATTTTTAGCTTTATCCCCAAAATGCTTTAACTCCAGTGACCCGCTGGTAGGTCTCTGTTGCTATGGTGGTCAAGTAGCTCATTCTGTCTCATTTCCTTGGGGTTTTTGTCGGGGGTGGGGTGGGGTTGTTGTTGTTTTTAATTTTAAACACTGTCTTTTTTAGAGCAGTTTTAGTTTCATAGGAAAACCGTGAGAAGGCAGAGATTCCCACATGCCCACCAGCACAGCCTCTTGCACTAGGACGCGGCACCCAAAGTGGGCGTCCTCCGCAGTGGGTGACGCGCGCAGCACATCCTTAGCACCACGTACGCAGGGCACAGTGGCGTCCGCTGGTGCGCGCATCCTCAGTCTTGCATGGACAACCGTGATGTAAATTCACCCTTCCACAGCCATGAAAAGCACAGCACTGCCCTCCAGGTCCTCTCTGTCCAACCTGTTCATCCCATCCTCCTACAGACTCTGAATAACTATCGATCTTTTCCTGTCTCCATAGTTTTTTCTTTTGTCAGGATGTCATGTAGTTGTGATTATACAATGAATAACCCTTTTAGGTTGAGTTCTTTCACTTGGTGACATGCAGTTAAGGTTCCTCCATGGCTTGAGAGCTCATTTCTTTTTACTGCTGAATAATACTCCATTGTCTGGACTAACCACAGTTCACTCACTTCTAAAGGACATACCATACTATCTCTTGAATCCCACAGGCTAAATATTATTTTGCTGTAGAATATCCAGCGTTTGTTTAGAATTACATTGTACAAGACTTTTTCTTCTAGAATCATTTTATTTCTTCATGAAACATACCCTTTGGAAATTCCTCTAGTGAGAAGCAAATTTTTTTTCTTACTTAGCCTTAGACTTTGTTGGAATTGCTGAAACTGTGAATTACTGCATTTCATCAGTTATAGGAAATTATTTGCTGAGAGTGGTGGTGCTTGCCTGCAACCCCAGCACTCAGGGAGGAGAATCACAAGTTCAAGCCCAGCCCAGGCAACTCAGCAACATAGTGAGGTCTATCTGAAAATAAAACAAAAAATTTTTTTAAAAGGGCTGAAGATGTAACTCAGTGCAAAGGTCCTAGGTTCAGTCTAAGTGCTAAAAACAAAAACCCTCAGCTACCATTCCTTGACACGTTGCCTCTCTGTTCTGTTACCTCTCCTCCGTTGTTACCTCTCTGGAGAACTTGGTTAGGACATGTGTGGCAACTGCTCACTTTACCAACATATTAAGTGTCTTAGTCTGTTCAGGCTGCTATGAGAAAAATGCCATAGACTCAGTAGTGATGTCTCATAGTTAGGTGGCTGGGTTCTGGGGAGGCCGGGCCTGGCTGGCAGATGGCTGCCTTTCCGTGTACTCCCAGGGCAGGCAGGGAGGAGCTCTCGCCAGGCCTCTCATCTGGACCCTGACCAGAGTTCACTTGCCTCAGGCCCCACCTCCAAACGCCATCACCTTGGGAGTAGAATTCAAAACAGAAAGTTGAGAGGAGGAGGCCACAAGCTCTCAGACCAGAGCAAGCAGTTTTCCAGTCTCTATCTCACTCGCTTCCCCGCTGTATTTTAACAAATTGCTTCAGACTTATCTTGTGGTTTAGTATTAAACTTTGTGCAGTATGCTATGTGACTTTGCTGTGTTTTGCAACATTTTATGATAATTTTCAGAATATAGACAAATTGAAGAGTGATTGTGTTAAACTCCCTCGGACCCACCAGCTATGTTCCACAATTAACATTTTACGATACATTTTTGGCCATATATGTCTGCCCTTCTATATCTCCATCAATCCAACCTTTCGTTTTTTAAGCTGCTGCATATTGTTATGATTTGGATTGAGATGTGTCCCGAAGGCCTCATGTGCTCACAAGGGGATTGTGGCAGGGACTGGATCCCAGGCTTAAAGCGGACTATGCACAAGGCGGGGTTTGGAGGGAGGGGCCACGTCCCCGGGAGTGTGGCCCGGAAGGGCATCTTTCCCTTGTGGCTCCTGCCCTTGCTCTGGGCTTTCTGGCTGCCCTGAGGTAAGCAGCACTTCCTCTACCAGGCCACTCTGCCATGGCATTGTGCTTCGGAGCCGGCCAACCATGGACTGAGTTCTGAGCCCAATAAACCTCTCCTTGAAGTTTTAAGTTTTGGGTATCAAGCCAACAAGTGACTGAGACACATCGATTCAATTCTTTTATATGTATAAAGGATACAGAGTCAGTACTCTCACCCCCACTATTTTCATTGAGATTTTAATTTGTGTATTTTCCATTTCTACAATGTCCATTTGATCCTTTTTCAATACACCCACTTGTTTCTGATCTCTTGTTCTTCTTTTATTTTTTAAAATAGAGTAGACACATTTGCTTTATAACTTCTACATAAGGTTTTCAGATATAGTAATTAAAAATACAGAATGCTACCGGGACTAATGGTGTCAGCCTGTAACCCTAGCACTCTGGGAGACTGAGACAGGAAGATCACAAGATTGAGCCCAGCAACTTAGCCACTTAGGGAGACCTTGTGTCAAGAATAAAAATGGTCTGGGGATGTAGCATAATGCAACCGTCCTGGGTTCAATCCCCAGAACTATGGAAAAAATGCAGAAGGCCTAATTATATTTGAATTTCAGGTAATCAACAAATAATTTTTTTGTGTGTAAGTATGCCCCAAATGTCCCAAATGTTGCTGTGACATATTTATGCCAAAAATTGTTTATTGATTATTTGAAATTCGAATATAATTGAGTTATATTTATCTGGCTACTATTTGAATACTCCCATATCTGGAGTCTTAATAGGATTGATTCACTTAACCTACTGGATCTTCCTCATGATGATTTATTTTCTTGTGTGCATTGTGGTTGGAGGTTTGTCTTTGTCAGATTTCTGCCAGGTCCAGGGCCTGTGTAGCTCCAGTGTATGACACTGCTCCTGCTCACCCAGCCTGGCTTTAGGTTCAGACTTCCTTCACTTGATAGAGGACCTTGATAGTTCTGACCCATGCAGCTGAAATACCCTAAAAACTGTGAGCTTCACACAGTCAAATGGCCATTCTTCCAAAATTCATATACAGAGTTAATTTAATCTAATCAAGATACCAACAGCATTCTTCACACAGCTGGAGAAAACAAACATAAAACTCATATGGAACTAGAAGAGACCCAGCATAGCAAAAGCAGCCATGGGTGAAAAGAACAAAGCAGGAAGCATCACTATCCCAGGCTAAAAGTTATATTATAAAACTACAGTGATAAGATATAGCATGGTACAGGCACACAAACAAGCATGTAAATCAGTGGGATAGAATAGAGAATGCAGAAACAACTCTAAGTGCATTTAACTGTTTGGTCTTTGACAAAGGGGCCAAAAACATACACTAGAGGAAGGATAGCCTCTTTAATAAATGATGTCAGGAAAACTGGCTATCCATGTGCAGAAGTTTGAATCTAGACCCATATCTCTCGACACGTACTAAACTAAAATAAAGATGGATCAAAGAACTAAATTTAAAACAAAACACTAGCCAGGTGTGGTGTACAATGCCTGGAATCCTGGCACTGAGGAGGTTCAGGCAAGGAGGATCACTGCA